TCTGTCCCTCCTTCCTACAGGTGAGTAAAGCGGCTCGGCAGGAGAAGAAGTTCCAGGACTACAACGAGAGATGCACCTTCCACCACCAGGCCAAGGTACGGACCGGAACCAGACCCGGAACCTGAACTAGAACTAGAACCGCTCCAGTATGTGGATCGGGCAGAGTTCAACATCAGAACCAAACGGAGCAGTGCGGCGTGGCGTCCCGCAGGGGGCGCCGTGCCAGTCCTCCACACAGCATCTGGAAGTTCTGTTTGTGCTGCAGGACTTTGCCGTCGGCCTGGAGAGCAAAGTGTCGGCCATCAACGAGGCTCTGCAGATGAAGTCGCTGACCTTCGTCATCGACGCCTGCAAAGTCCTGGCTCAGGCCAGAAAGGTAGCTTCCTCTTCCTGTTGGCCCGTCGAGCGGGAGCGTGTTCCGGCGGGAGCGTGATCCGGCGGGAGCGTGTTCCGGCGGGAGCGTGTTCCGGCGGGAGCGTTCCAGTGGGAATGCACTAGCTATGTCCTGCTCTGTGTCTGCAGGTGCTGGCCTACTCCTGCGTCTACAGCTACTACAACCAGGAGACGGAGAAGATGGACGTGATGGAGCAGCAGACGGAGGCGCTGGATCTCCACACCAACGCCCTGCAGATCCTGCTGGGTGAGACTCGGCCTCAGCCACAGGCACAGCTGCAGGCCTCACTGGTGACTGGGTTTACTGGTTTCTGTGTTCAGAGGAGACTCTGCTGCAGTGCACTGACCTGGCCTCCTGCGTCCGGCTGCTCAAACCAGAACATCTGAACACGGGCCTGGAGCTGATCCGCCGCATCCAGGAGCGCCTGCTGGCCATCCTGCAGCACTCCACCCAGGTGCCTGTCCAGACCCACCGCACCGCAGGAAACACTTTAATCCAGATTAAAACCTCCTGAAGACGGATTAATGTGAGCTGTGGTAAATCGGTTTAGGTCCCTGTCTCGGTCCGACTCCAGGCAGCCGCGGCGCCACCCGGAGGGCGTCGGGAGGATTCCGGTTGGAATCCTGCAGATCTAGTACAAACTGTTTCAGGAGCTTCAGCGATTGGCTGCTGCTCTCGGGACGCCATCTTGGAACCCGTGATCTCTAAACCTTCAAAACGAATCCAGTTTGATCCAGTCACTGGTAGTGCAGTTTAAACCAGTTTCCAGTGTGAACTCTCCAGTCTGACTCGGTGATGTGTTTCTGGTCCAGGACTTCAGGGTCGGCTACCAGACCAAGAACGGCCAGGAGTCCGAGACCACGCAGGCGACCAGCCTGTCCAACCACACGGACACCAACAAACGGTGCTGGACCTGTCCTCACCTGTCCTCACCTGTCCTCACCTGTCCCTCTATCTCAGCTTGTAGGTCTCCTGATCCTAGATCAGTTTCACACGTTTAGACAACCCATCAGACGCTTCCTGCATCTGATTGGTTCAGATGCAGGAATCAATCAGATGCAGGTGAGGGACAGGTGTGTCTCACCTGTGGTTTCCGTCAGGTCCAAGTCCAACCGCGGGTCGGACTCTGGAGATTCGGACAACAACACGTACAACGGCGAGGAGGGGGGCGAGGAGGCGGAGGACGACGATGACGAGTACGACGAAGAGTACGTTCCCGAGTGGCACGAAGACTACGACGAAGACGACATCGACGAGGACGACTTCTTCTCCGACGACGACGAGTCCGAGAACCTGGAGAGGGACTTCAGCCCCTTCGACTGAGCCGGGTCAGAACTCGAGGAGGCGAGGACGAAGCCCCGCCCCTTGAGGACATTTGGGCCGGGGGAACGATCCGGTCCTCCCCTGACCCCTGACCCCGGACCTCCCTCGCTGCACTCGCTTTCACTTTCTGATTCTGTTCTCTTTAGGCCAAAGTACAGGACGGGACGCGGCAGAACCGGTCCGAGTCCAGTTTCAGTTTCAGAGGAACCGGTTTGCACCACTCTGATTCCACCACAGCTAAAAGCTAGGCTGGTTTGAAACCAGATTAAACCAGTTTGAAGTAGTCTGAGACCGGTTCACACTGATCAGACCAGTGAACCTGTCTGAAAACAATGTAATCTCAGACCGGTTTGAACCCGTTTGAACCCGGTGTCAACGGGTCCAAAGGGATCTGGAACCAGGCTAAGATAAAGCCAGTCTGAACAGACCTGGAATCAGTTTCTGGGAAACCATCTTAAAACCCATTTGATGCTGACTTAAACTGGTTTGAGACCAGATTGTTGTCTCTGAAACCGGTTTACAGTTGTCCAGTCTAATCCTGTTTGATTCCGGTGTAAACTGGTTACAGACCAGTTTACACCCACCACTTGAAGACTGGTTTGATCAAAAGTAGAAGCCATTTAAGTCAGATTGGTGTAAACTGGTGTGGAACCAGTTTTGTCTGTGTGAACTGGTGGAACCGGGTCTTCGGTTTGTTCTGCTCCTGAAGCTCAGACCCGTCCGATATTCTGGACCTCCTCTGGAATCGTCGACGTCCCGCTGCTTCTTTCCTTGGACCGGACCGGACCGGACCGGACCGACCCCCGCCCCGCCTCACGTTCTGCCTTGGTCTGGTTCTGACGAACCCGGCCCCCACCTGAGGGACGCGCCGCCTCCTGCCGCCTCGGTCAGAGTTTTACCTGAGGGGAGGTTTCTATGCACCTGAGGCCCGCGGTACCGAGCGGCGCCGCTGCAGTGACTCGGTTCTGTCAGAGTTTGGGTCGTAGTTCTGGAGTCGGGTATCTGATACTCCAGCTCCTTATTTTGCTGTAATTTTGAGAGATCATATATTCATAATGTTCTACAATGTTCTGTTTCCTTCAGCCAGCAAACAAAATAAAAGCTTTTCTGCAGCGCTGCATCCGACTCTGCTCCTGTTCTACAGAACCACCAGAACCTTTAGGTACTTACACTGAGATCAGCTGTTCTGGGTCCAGATGGTGGTGATGTCACGGCTCTGGTTGAAGGTCATTGGAGGAGCCTCTGCTTCCTTCTGTGATCTCAGAGACGTTGGGTCAGATATTAGGAAGAGACTGCTGACCTCTACGGATCCGGTTCTGGCTCCTCCAGCGGTCCAGAAGTTCTGCAGAACAAAGCGGTCCTCATCAGAAACAGACGGACTCTACCTGACCCAGTGGTTTTGTTCCCTCATGGAGCTGCACCTGGTTCTGATGGGTCAGGTGGGTCTTCCTGGTGACGCCGCCCTGCAGTCCCAGTAGAACTGGACTGGAGCCGGGAGAACCTCTGTCCTGGTTCTGCTGCTGTACATGGCCCGGTTCATTCAGCTGTGGTTCTGTCTCTGTTCCTCAAAAATTCTGAAAGTTTAAACTTTCTGAGCATCTTTCTGGATCAGAACCAGATGTGTCACAGAATAATTGTGATGTTTTTTAACTAATAGCTAATAATTAACTGACAGGACAAACTTGGCTCAAATGAAGCAAAATTCAAATGATGAGACATAAACCTAAAGTAACTCGCATTGACGACAAGAAGGATGGGGCTGGTGATCAATAAGGGTTCAATAATGTCTGAATCAGAGATAAAGGGATCGGTATCGCTCACAGGGTCCAGCTCTGTTACAGGAAGGTCAGTCAATCCAGTGTGCAGGTAGGTTTTGCACACCTTAAAATGCCATATTTAATAGTCTTCTATTTTGCATCCAGGTTATTTTTTTCTACGGTCACAACTACTGCTCTCACAAAGCCATAGTTGAACTGGAAGAGGGCGTCTGATTTCCATTTTGTTCTAATACATTTCTTAGTAATTGCCAGAAGGACCTCTGTGGGTTTCTTATCGTGTGTCTTTAGATTGGGGTTTGTGACGTTCCCCAATAAACAATTTGATCTGTCAGAATCGTGATGCCAGGAGACTCAGAGCAGGAAGTCAGGCAACTTCATCCAACTCGGGTCAGCTCAAACAGAACCAGACAGATTTATCTGTCTTCATTTTCACTGAATCTGACCAAAACTGCGAGTGGAACCAGTTAAATCACCCTGGATCATTTTGACCCATGTTTACTGAAACCAGCATCAGTCTGGAGTCAGTGAGTGAACGTGGCTGATGCAGGTTACAGGAACCGGTCTGGGCCCACTCTGAAACCAGTGTGATCCATTACTGGGGCAAACTGGACCGAGCTAAACGCAGATTGGGGTCATTTTCCAATTTAAGCAGAAGTTGAAGCTGAGAAAGGAACTGCACTCTCTCGGTCGACCTGTGGGCGGCAGCATCGCTGTTTCAATGCTGATTATGCATAAGAAGAAACGCGCCGGAGTGGTAATGGAATAAACTCGTAAATAAACTTAAATATTTGACATATTCGTTGGTAGAAGCGGCGTTTTTTCGGACCGGGGGTTAGATAAGGGTGCTAAGTTGTTGTTCACGGTAGAGCGGTGGGTTTAGCGGCTGCATTTTACCTTTAAAGTCGGACGGTTGTCAGTTAGCCTGCGGCTAACGGAGCTGCTAACCTCCTCTGTGTCTCCTGCCGACATGGGCCGCGGACACGGACCCACGAGGGACAGGACTCCACTCGGACCTCCAGGCGAAGACGTACCTCCTTTCGAGATGGGGCCGCCGGGCTGGGGCCCTCCAACAGAAGGCTGGGGACCACCGCCGCCTGAAGGATGGGGTCCCAGAGGCCCCCCGCCTCCAGAATGGGACCCCAGGGGCCCCCCGCCTCCAGAATGGGGTCGCCCTTATGACTGGGGCCCGAGAGGTCCCCCACCTCCTGACTGGGATCTGAGACTTCCCCCACCTCCTGACTGGGACCCCAGGGGCCCCCCACCTCCTGACTGGGACCCTAGACGCCCTCCTCCTCCAGCTTGGGGCCCCAGAGGCCCCCCACCTCCTGACTGGGACCCCAGAGGCCCCCCTCCTCCAGCTTGGGGCCCATATCCTGATGAGTGGGTGCCTCCCCCAGACTGGCAGCGACCCCCACACTGGAGAGGCTGGGGTCCAGAGCGCCCGGACCCATGGGGCCTGGGGGCCTTGTCACCTGTCCCTCCCTGTCACCTGTCCCACCCCTTCCACCTGCTCTACCCCCGCCCGTTCCTATTGGGATCCCCCCTCCAGACCCTGCGGCCGTCCCGCCGGTCCCTCCTCCGGGCTGCATGCCTCCGTTTGGATTCCCGCCCCCGTTCCCGGCCCCGGTCTGGACCGCGGAGGTGAGGTTCAGAGGGGGACTGGGTCTTACTAATCCGTGGTTCTGGTCAGATCATCAGAACTGATTTGGTTGTTTTCCCTGTTCAGCCTGTGGTGGAGGAGCCGATGCCCAACCCGCCGCCTGACCAACCGGAGTGGGTGAGTCTGGTTCCAACCTGGAGCTCAGAACAGCTCACTGATTGGTCCATTCAGCTCTGATCGCAGAACCACTTTAAACTGGTCTCCTATTGGTTGGTTTTTTGGCCTCTGATTGGTCGACGACCAGCTTCCTGTTTAGTCTTTTCTTCTCTCCTCCAGATCAAGGCTCTTATTTCTGCTCCACCTGGTGACTCAACTTCAGCCGAGACTAAAAAAGACTCTGAAGCTCCTGCCGTCACCAAAGCCGCGCCCCTGACCCCCCCCCGGCTGCCGCCCCCACACCTCCTGCCGCCCCGAAGCCTGAGCCCAGGTACACGGCCAAGGCGCTGGGGCTGCTAGGAAAGCGGACCTTCGAGAGGTGAGTGGGTTCCGGTGTGGACGTCCTCCAGGTGTTGGAGCCAGGTGTTTAATCTGAGCGTCTCTGTGTCCAGGCCTCCACCCGGTAGATCCACAGGGATCATCTCCTTCGTCGGGGTGAGGCTTCCGTACTGCCAGCCTCTGAGGTCCGACGGGCCCAGCTAGAACCCGTCAGTAACGATGTTCCTGTTCGCAGCCAACGTTCGGCTCCATCGAGAGGGAAGACCTGGAGAAGTTCCAGTTCAGCTTTGATGTCTTCTTTGGAAACCCCAATGCCCTGACGCCCGGCGTCCGGGTCCATTTCACGGCCTGCAAGGAGAAGGTGAGTGTGTGGCGGTTCTCCCCGTGCTCCGGTCAGAACCGCCGTCTGAAACTGTCTCTGCTTCCCTGGACAGAACCGGGCTGTGGCCACGGATGTGAAAGTGGCTCCAGGGGGAACGGAGAACGTGGACCCGGAGATCTACGAGGCCGTGGTCAGCCAGGCCATCGAGGAGCCGCAGGTCAGTGAGGAGGAGGAGGAGGAGCCGCAGCTCTTCCTCGCTCCGGTTTCCTCTCCAGTAGAAGGTGATTCTGGTCCAGGGAGTCCAGACCAGTTTACTTTCACTCAGACCTTCGTTTTTCTGCTGTCTTGACCAAGGAGCCGAAGCCCATCATGCATTGCTGCGGACAGCGATAGTGGGTCGGTTCTGGTTCCTTTCTGGCGGCCATGTTGAGCAGTACTGCCAGTGAAACTACAAATCTCAAGATGCATCAATCTTCAGTAACCTGGTGATCCAGGGCTGGGGGTGGTGTGATGTCATCAGAGTGAGCTGATGACATCACACTTAGACTCAGCTGGTAGTGGGTTGTATGTCGTTGCTGAGGCAACAGTGGTGAACTCCCTCAACTAGTCTGCTAACAGCTCAGCATCTTGATACGGCTCTGCTCACCCAAAGCCTTTGCTTTTGCTGCTCCTCTTTAAATCTCTGTCTGACCGTCTAGTCAGAGACTCGCTCATAGGCCAAAGAACACGGTTTGTGTGGTGAATCGAGGCCTTTGGGTCTAGAAGACGCAGAGACCGTCTGCAGGCCAGACGGTCTCTGCGTCTTAAGCTCTGGTCGGTGTCCCCGCAGCCCGGCGACCGGCAGTACCCCGGCCAGGTGCACGTGACTCTGGGCATGGTGCGGACCAACCTGCCGTTTGAGAGGAAGGACAGTTCGGTGACGCTGCTGAAGGACGATCAGGTGCTCATCAACGTTCTGACCGACATCGTCACGGAGAAACGGCGAGCCACCAACATCAGACCCAAGATCCCCGCCACCTTCGGCTCCACCAGGGAGACCAGGGAGAAGGTGAGGAGGCGCCGCCCAGAAACCCCACCTGCTGCCGAGCTTCTGCTTGATGGTGTTTGTCCTGCAGGGCGTCATTATCAGTCTGAAGGAAAACGAAGGCGTCATTCAGTCAGAAGAACACGGGGAGCTTCAGTTCGAGACCAGAGAGAACTTGAGTGATGTGGACTTCACCAAGGAGGACATCAACGAGGAGGTGGAGTTCACTGTCCTGGCGGTACGCTTCTTTGCTTCCCCAGCAGCTCTTGGTGCTGAACTCATGATTGAGAGGCGGTTTTTTTGTGTTGGACTGTGTTGTGACGTTTCTGTGTCTCTGGGTCAGCTGAGAGGGGGGAAGCGGGGCGTCAGGATCAAACGAGTCAAAGAGCCCTCCTCCTGACGCTCTGTGGTGCTTCTAGCTCCGCCCCCGAGGAACTGGAGAGACCCAATGGAGAGAAGGTCTCTGTGGGCCCCAACCAGACAATGTCCAAGTCCGCGGAGGAGTTGGAGCCTCACATGGTGCTGGACTCTGAGCTCTACGAGGGCATCGTCAGCCAGACCATCATCGAGCCCAAGGTAGGCTCTGTCCATCCCAGCTGGCGACAGCTTGCTTGGTTCCCTTACGGGTTTAGGTTCTTGAAGAAGGTGAACCACAGTGTCTCTTTTCCACTGGACGCTGCAGTCCACACTGCAACGCCAGTTGGACTCTCACTGGGCAGGCGGCTAAACCCAAACCATAGCGTCAAAACAAACCTGAGACTAGCAGTGATGTTCTTCTGGGCGAGGTGACACCAGACCGTACTGCTGCGCTACGGGTCGGCTGTTTGGTCCACTTTGACCAACCAGCGCCAGTACGAGTCGGCGCCGGCTTCAGACGAGATTAACAGGGGGGCATCTGCTTTTTTGGGGGGAGCTAAATGAATCCATGTCGCAACTACAATATGAAAAAGTTATCAAGTCAATGTAACAACTACTGTCCACTTTTGAACATGGACGTAGGCAGGTGTAAACCCAGCTTGCGTCTTAGTGCTCATGTTGCGTTTAAAGGCGGCTTGGAAAAGCAGGTTAGGACATGTTAACAACAGATTAAACAGTTTTTAATGCTGAAAAAAAAGTGAGAAAAGGCCCTGATATTGGAAGTGCGGAATGCTGTATCAAACCAATATAGGAATAATGGAGAGACGACCACTTTAAGGTAAAACAACACACGACTTCCACTCCAGGGGAACCGCTGACTCTGTGGGTGGGCAATGGGCCCCCTTAGCCCCCCACGCCACCGGGCCTGTGGGGAAAATCTAGGCATTGGGTGTTAAGGGATGTTGGTGGGTGAAGATGCTAACTGTAGATAGCTGGTCATTAGAAGACTCCATCTGATGTTTCGAAAAAAGTTCTAATAGTAAAGATGGACAGCAAGAGCTAATGCTATAGCTACATTGGTGCCAGATGATCAGAACTGCAAGCACAGAAAGAATGAGGCTAAATGACGAGCGATAAGAAGCCGACTCTCTGGCGTCAGCATTTCCTCATCCTTTTTTCAGAATATCACCTGATGCTGGACCGTTAGTCTCCTGCATTTCTGGGTATTCTCTTCATATTCCCCCCTACAGGAGGACGTTCCTGGATATCCGGGTCAGATCGTCGCCAACATCGGTCCGCTCAGGACCAACGTGACCTTTGACCACCGGGACTGTTCGGTGACTCTGCTGAAGAACGACCACGTCCTGATCAACCTGCTGATCAACACCTTGACCAACAAGAGGCGGGCCGCCAACATCCGGCCCAAAATCCCCTTCACCTTCCGCTACACCAAGGAGATCCGCGAGCAGGTACCGGCCGGAGTCCGACGGGACCCTTCCGCTGGAACCGGTACTGAACTGGTTCCACTGCTAAACAGTTAGCTACATGAACTTTGACCCTTCACAGAATAAAATAGGGGGTTCATTAGAACCAGTCCTCAGCCGAAGCAGATTTTAAAGTGAACACACCCTCCAGGTTCTGAGCCCGGTCCTAAAGCGGATTCGTCCTGTTCCAGGGAACCATCGCCTCGCTTGGTGACCAGGAGGGGGTCGTCAGCTCCACCAAGCACGGCGACTTGCCCTTTGACCTCTGCGAAAACTTCAGCGATGCAGAGTTCGATTCTGACGACGTGGGGAAAGACGGAGTTCACAGTGACAACGGTGAGAGGAGACCGAACCGACCCGGTTCTGTCCGCCAGCAGAAGCTGACCCGTCGTTCTGTCCCTGCAGGACAAAGCCGCGGTCAGAGCGATCTCCGGCTAAGGAGGATGAGGAGGAGCAAGGCGGCCGAAGATAAGATCCTGCAGGAGCAGAAAGCCCGCGAGCTGGAGGAGCGCCAGAGGAGGGAGGAGGAGCGCAGGAGGAGGAGGAGGCGGAGAGGAGGAGGAAGGAGGAGGCGGCCGCTGCTCTGGCAGCAGCCAAAGACAAGGTGAGCTGGAGCAGCAGGTGGCGCTGTGGGGCCAGTACCTGCGTTAACTGAGCTAACTGGGCTGCTGGTCTGCAGTGGACTCCGTTCGGCTTCAGGTACAGAGTCACTGACTCCATGCTGGAGGTCAGCAGGGAGCGCTTCCAGGGCACCGTGCTCAAAGCCATCTGCAGGAGCCCTCCCAAGGAAGAGCAGGAGGAGGCCAAGCAGGAGGCGCTGCAGGAGGCAGATGTGAAGGAGGAGGAGGTGACGGCGAAGGAGACGGTGCAGGAAGAGAAAGGAGGCACTGAGGTGGAAGGTGGAGCAGCTGTGAAGGTTTTGGTTGGAGTTCTGGAAACTGAGCGTCCCGTTTCTGTCAGCAGGTCAAGCAGGAGGAAACGGAGGACGGCGACCAGCAGGAGGCGACGCGCCTCACTGGGAGGAAGGAGATGAAGCAGGAGGAGGAGGAGCAGCAGATCGGGGCCCCCAACCCGCCCGCCCCTGAGGTGGGTCGGTTGGTGATGACCGTGGACGGCCGGCAGAAGCAACTGACCTTTGGCCCCAATGACCTGCTGACCCTGGCCACCATGCTGGTGGGAGACAAGGTGAGGAGCGGCAGTCTCAAGACTCTGAGCGGCGGCCGGAGGAGTAATGGCTTGCTTCCTCCTACAGGTCCGCTTCAGCCTGGCCACACACCGCCTCACCAAGGAGGAGCGCGCCACCTTCATTGAGATCCTCCCGACTCCTTCGAGGAGTCCACGGAGCAGCGGACGCACGTGAGGCCCCCGGTCCTCGTGGAGGCACACCGCCCGTCCTCCCGGAGGCCCGTCTGACGCCTCGCTTCTCTCTTCAGGGGATTGTGATCGAGTTTTCCGAGGACTCTGGACTCATCAAGTGTTCAGAGAACCCTCAGCTGTTCTTCAAAATGTCCGAGGTGGTGGAGAAGAAGAAGCTGGAGCTGAACGAGAAGGTGGAGTTCAGCGTCGTCCCGGTCAGTCCTGCTACTACGTTCGGCTGGCTTTCAGTCCACAGTGAATGATCCTGAGTTTTTTCTGAAATGTGTCTTGGTGATTATGAAGCATCCGACAGCAGACGGAGGGAAACAGGCCATCAGGATCAAACGCTTCACGGAGAAAGTTTTCCTCCCGGTTCGCAAACTGAGCGGCGTCGGAGCAACCAAAGGGAAGGTGAGCTCCTCTGCATTGTTTGCGATTAGCAGAGATCGGTTTTCTCCTCCAACGCTAATCTTCCTGTGGTTTTGTAGATGACCATCAAGTTTGGCAAAACCCCCAGACGCCACTGAGTGAGTAAATGTCCACTATTCTTCGGATCTTCTCATAATGCGGTTTAATCTGCAAACTATGGGATCAGACACGAAATCTCTGAGTTCAGAAATGTCATTTTGATTAAGAGCATTGCCAGCAAGCCCGTGTTTTTCAGAGTGAGCAGTAAAAAAGTGGAACTATAAGAAATTGCCCTTAACTTCAGGCACGTCAAGTTGTAAAGATTTGACCACACTGTTTTGTTCTCATTGATATACCTAAAGACATACTTATCATATGATTTTTGGTCAACAGAAAGAGGAATATAATTGTTTTTTAATTCTGTTTTCCAATACAAACGTTGCCTACCATTGAACAATAAACATTCGGGATAAAATACTGTGATTAAATTAGCAGTTAGTGCAAAGGTTAAGATCAGAACTGGTAGTTGAGAATTAGTTGACTTATGAGGAAACCCCAACCCTGTTTGATCTCTGCTAACGTTTCAGAAACCAGAAACCCGAGTCAGACAAACAAAAGGCCGTGTTTAAAACGATAAAGAAGGACACCAGCGTCTCCCGCCACAAGTACCGTCGCAGCCGGAGCAAGGAGAGGAGCAAAAGTCGGAGTCCGTCCAGAGATCCGTTTGGCCGCGTGGCAAAAAAGAGACGCAGCGCGAGCATTGACCGAGAACACAGCAGCAGGTACAGACGAAGCAGAGAGAGGTCAAGCAGGCGCAGCCGGAGTCGCAGCAGAAGTCGCAGCAGAAGTCGCAGCAGAAGCCGCAGCAGAAGCCGCAGCAGAAGCCGCAGCAGAGAGAAAAGCTCCAGGAAGAGGAGCAGGTCCAGCAAAGAGCGCGAGGAAAGCCACCGCAGAAGGCCGAGCCCACCGCCACGGCGAGGCATGGTGGTAGACACTGAGCTGGCGAGAAAGAAACGAGAGCTGGAGGAGCTTAACGAGATGATCGCCTATAAGAAGTCTCTGGTTGACCCCAGGGGCTGGAGCCTGGAGGCAGGACCTGCATCGACTATGACCATGGCAGGATCAGTATGCCTCGCTCAATTCTCAAGAAGCGCCCAGAAGAACCAGATTACATCCGGCCTCCCTATGATGACCCTTACTATGACCGTCCGTACGGTCCGTTCCCAGGCCGCCGCTACGGCGAGACCTACGGCAACCCGTACCCTCACCCGTATGCAGACCGGCCGTACGACAGCCATCTCTATGGCGACCCTCCCTACGGCGGAGCCCCTTCTTCCAGCCAGCGCTACACTGATCGGTATGACGTGTACAATGAGCATTATGACAGTCACTTCTACGACCCCAAGTACAGGGAACGCGCCTACGATCCTTACCCACCATTAAAACAAAGTAGGTCTCCAGAACCTCGTGGCTCTTCCCCACATTCTCCACCTAGCCAAGATGCTAACGTCTGTGCTAAACCCATGACTCACTCAGTCTCCACTTTCAGACCTCCGTCTCCCATCGACTCTCCTCCAAGAACACTGTCTCCCAATCGAAAGTTCACAACTCCCCCGCAGTCCCCGCTGGCTCAGAAACCCCCTCTGCACCGATTTCTTGACATGCTTAACAAGAAGACTGTTGCTGAGAAGACCTCGGAACCCTTGGATGTTACAGATGACCTCCTGCCTCACGAGCGAGCCCTTCAGGATGGCAAAGGCTTCTCTCGAATTGTAGGTCTGGCTCAAGAGCGGCCCAGCAGCAGTCTGGTCCATGAAGTGGAGATAAAGCAGCCAAACTCCAAACAACCCTCAGTAGAGAAAACAGGTGATGGCCAGAAACCAGAACCCTACGATAAGATACAAAGTCTACTGCGGTCAATTGGGCTCAAGCTGAGCTCTGGAGAGGTTTCTAAACTGGCCAATAAAGCTCAGGAGAAAACCTTGAGCTTCAAGTCGTCATCATCAATGGAAAGAGAGACGTTTCCTAAGGAGGAATTGCGGAGCGGCAGGACTGGTTCTGTGGATCATATCCACTCTCCCTCCCCTGCCAGATCTTCCAGTACTGAACCGCTCAGCAACCCGAAGTCGGCCATTCCAGAGTATGAGAAATTCTTTGACCAAGATGAGTTTGAAGAGCAAAAGAAGGCGCAACATCTGCAGAGCCATACCAAGACAACAGGGAGCGCACCATCCACCGTCTCCTCTCCAAAACCACCTCCAGGGCCGCCTCCTGCCCACTACCGGCACCCAACCCCCCCACTCAACTGGCCTCTTGGTATCACTAGCACATCCCACGACCCTGAAGCCCCACCTGCAGCCACCCACCCCCACCCCAGGCTGCTGCGTCCCCCAGGCCCCCCACCAGGACCTCCTCCACGGCGCCAGGCACAGCACCCTCCTGGTCCGCCTCCTGGGCCTCCGCCCCAGCGCCCGGCCGGAATCCCTCCTTTCACGACAGGCTCCACTCATACGGTTCTTCCGTTCATTGGCCTAGCCAGTCCCGCTTCGGCCGCCAGTGGGGCCACCTCCTTACAGCCCGCACTCACTCCTACTGTGACACCAGTAACCTCAAGTCCTTCAAGCTGCGACCAGTCGCCTATGTCTACCACAGTGGTGCGCTGCTTGAACCTGATTGAGACTGTGAAGTCTCTGAGCATCCCGCCGCCAGTCAAACCTGTTAAATCTGTCCAGTTCAGCTTACCCTCAGTGTCGTTCAGCAGCTCGCCGCCCTCACTGGAGACGGACGACATCAAGGCCAAGCAGAAGGAGAAGGTAAGATCAGCAGAGCCCTTGTTGACACGCTCAAGCCCAGGTTAGCCTGTAAAACACTGTAAAGAAACAGCATCTGTCTTTACAAGTGACCTAGGTTTCTAGGAAGATGCTGTTCTTGGCTTGGTAGATTGCTAAAGATGTGGTGCTTGTGTCACAGCTGGATTTGTATAATCAGAGGCTTCTGGAGAAGAGGGAACAGGAGTACAAAGAGAGGCTTACCCTCAGGAGACAAGGAGAGAGGAACAAAGAGGGTCCGCCGGTCCCGGCAGGTATATCTTCATTAATTGCAGATGTGTTTAACTAGCAAGGAATCATGTAATAGTTTATGTTTACTGTCCACCTCAGACAATACCTGCATGCTGTGTTCGGTGCTGCCATCTTTTATTCAACCAAACTTTTTGCTGTTTCCTGAAGTCTTCGGTCATCCAGGTTCTTCCAAGAAGGTCCAATGTAGCAGATACGTCTGTCTTCAGACATGCTCAAGTCATTCACAAGAGGTCAAGTTTAGATACCCTTCATTGGGTTAGTTTATGTAAACATGACTTTAGCAAGGACCAAGTCAAGAAACTAGATTATTTCAGACATGCCCACATTACCTAAACATGTCCGTTAGCACGATTCTACCGCAGCAATAGAATTTTTACATTTAAGGGCATGTGGTTGTTTTCCACTTATGAGAGGCCAAGAGATTTTTGCATGCATGTAAAGCTCAGCATGACTTCAGTGTCTGGAACATGAGCAAAGCGTCAGTTCAAGCTCATGGAGCCACAAACCAGTGGCTAAGACGATGGTCAGCAAGTCGTTAGCTGGATCTAATGCATCATCTCTTTGAGCAATCATAGAAGAAGCCGACTGCGAGCTCAACTCTGCAAAAAAAGCGTTTTCTTCCTCTGCTCCTGATGACCCACTGGTTTATAAGGAAGGAATTGGACTTGACTTCAGATTCATTTTTGATAGAAATTCGGAGATCCAGTGTGTTGGGAGTAAAACCTGGTTCCAGTTACCCCAACTTTAAAACTGACAGTCTTGAAGTGGGCTATAGAAACTTAATTTACCTAACCCTAACCCATTGAAATATTTTAAGGTTGAATTATCAAGAAGATGCTAACATTAGCTGAGTCCAGGAGTCGATTCCTCCTGATCTGAACAGGAGCAACCGATGAGGACTGTGTAGATACTTTCATAAACAAATGTTATTCATGGGTTTTAAGTGGCTTGTTAGCATGGCGTAGCAGCTTTCAGAACCAAGCTAATCCAGTAAAGTTGGGACAAAATGTGTGTAGCTAAAACAGCAGTGGCAAACTGATTTATTGGTGTATTGGCTAATAACCCATTAATAAGGAAGATCCTGTAAAAGTTGGGGACCACAGTCTGATTTTCACTGCAGCTGCTGCAGTACATTGCATCCAGCAGTTCCTCCATGCTAGCTTCATCTACCAAAGCACCAGCTGGCTAACTGTAAGGTCGGCAGATGGGCCGCATCA